TCTTGGTGGTGTTGAAGTCTCTTATGATCCCTTTGAGACTATCTTGTGTTCCAACAAGCATTCTGGAGCAGAAAGAGTGTCCATGCCACTCGTCTGCAAGTATTTGGGCTACACCTGCACGTCACTGTCATCTCCAACGCTTGCATTGCTAATGTTACGAGCACTACTAGTAGCAACACTACTACTAATGAACAAGTCGCTTAGTTTTCTATTACATTTGGCTGCATCAGCCTTAAGAGAATTTGTTTCTTATCTTATAATTTTCAGCACCACCTTTGCATTTTTTACTGTTGACATTCCATTGGCAGTTTGACACATCACACACATCCAGTGGGCTTTTCTTCTGATTCTCTTCCACCTTCTATGGGTGTGTAAGGTGGTGAGGTTGTGTGCCATTGTTGCTACAATTTTTTTTTTACCCAAATTGCATAAAAATGTACCAATATTTTTGTGAAAATGTACCCTGCAAAATTGTTTATATTTTTCAGTATACAATTCAAATTGGGCAGTTATTTGAACTGTTACAGGTCCACCACTGATTTCCCAGCACCCTGGTTCCAAAGCCTTGCGGATTATCCTTTTTGCAACCAACCGAGGTCACGTAATAATAAATCAATAATACACCTCTGACCCACTTAATGATACACCTCCTGTGTCTCTAAAGCTCCGGACTGGTAGAAACTTAAATTAAACTAATATTAAGTGTAAATTAAATGTGAAAAATAATTGAGCAACATATTACTGTACTCACTTTGTACTCAAGTGTACTACACCAGACTAAATTTTTATCTCTTCGCTAAAACTATGTGATGTTTATACTCAATTTAATCACTATCTTACAAGGATTCCAGCAATACAATTTATATTCTGCTAAGTCTAGTCACATTTATAAGCTAAAAACTTTGAGCCTAAATCTGAAAAGGATAAACAAAAATCACCCTGACTGGGAGGAAGGCGGAGGGGGAGTTTTTTACACGTCTGACAGCTGTCAAGACAGAAGATGACAAAGTGCGTGAGTTATCAAACAGGAGGTGTCACTGAATTGACTTTTAGAATATAATTTACTTTTGCTGTAATTTTATAAGATAGTGATTAATTTGAGTATAAACATCATCACATAGTTTGCACTAGACATAATTTTAGTAATAAATTTAATACATTTGAATACAGTAGTTTGCCCTTAGAACAATTATTCCTTTTACTTTTTTCACAATTTATATTTAGATGGTGCTTGCATGTAAATGAGTAAAATAAATTAAGAAAAGTTACTTATATTGTAGTGGATACTTCTACAAACGCTGTTTGTCACTGAGTAGCCGACCCCGTGTCCCCAGTGTATGCCTCGGGTCTAGGTCAACCAGCGCCGCCACATGATGGAGGTCAACTATTAAGCCACGCCTCCCCTATATAAGGCCTGACCTCGTGGACCACTCTCTCTTTCTACCTTCAGCCAGGTCAAGTAACACCACCTCCTCCGCCCTGCCTGGCGGCCTCGCTCCCATGCAGCATGGCGACCCACAAGCTGGTCCTCTGAGCACCCTCACCAACCAGCTCTTTCTACTCAACACTTGTAACCATGCTGCCTTCCCAGCACCAAGCTGCATTGTACATCCAATACAACATGTATACAGAGAGCACTTTGTGAGTTTCTTCATCCCATCCTGATGTGAACCAAACATCACGTGACTCCCACAAATGGTGACCCCGAGATTCGCAACTCACACAGGATGGAGAGAAACCGATCACTCTCCCAGTCTTCAAGCAACATGGAAGACTGGCTTACCCATGCAGAGGCAGTTCTCATCGGCTCTACAGCTACTGTCTCTACACTGCAGGTTAGACACCCTAGAGCATCTCTGCTTCTAAGCAGACAGCCGCCTCTTCCTGCCCCAAGCACCACGTCTTACCGGACCCCCAACACACCCGTCCTGCCTCAGACGCGCCTGGCCCAGCAGTACCCCCTGCCTCCCGGACACACCATGCTCCTGAGTGCGGACCCACACACCCTCTTTTCTCCTCGGTACTCCCTGCTACTGTCCCACCCTGCTGCTGTCGTGGACCCTGCTGCTGTCATGCACCCTGCTGCTGTCACGATCTCCTCCGCTCCTGCTGACGCAGGCCCTGATCCTGACCCAGGCCTACACACCCCAGCAGGCGATCTGACAACTCTGTACCTGCCGTGAGGGAAACACAACATTCATCGCCTCCACACACCCTTTTTCTCCCTCTACTCCCACAGATATTGTGTATCTAGACAGTTGTCTCCCAGCGGCCGGCTCATCCACGCCCTGCTATGTCTCACATGTGGCATGCACTGCCCGTTTGCCTCACATGTGCCATGCAACCCTGCAGACAACATGTCTCCTACACTGCCTGAGGGAAGGGGGAGTACTGTAGGGATACCTCCCCTACAAACGCTGTTTGTAGCTGAGTAGCCGACCCTCATGAATTCCCCAGTGTATGCCTCGTGGTCTAGGGTCAACCAGCACCACCTACATGGCGGAGGTCAACTATTAAGCCACGTACCTCCACTATAAGACCTGACCGTGGGTGACCACTCTTCTACCTACAGCCAGGCTTCAAGTAACACCACCTCCTCCTCCTGCCTGGCGACCCTCGCCCCGCCAGCATGGCGACCACAAGCTGGTCCTCCTCTGAGCACCCTCACCAACCAGCTCTCTCTACTCAATGCTTGTAACCATGCTGCCTTCCCAGCACCAAGCTGCATTGTACATCCAGTACAACATGTATACAGAGCATTGGAGTTTCCTTTCTCCATCCCATCCTGAGTGTGAACCCAAATAACCCTGCACTCACAATTGGTGACCCGGAGGACCACTACACAGGATGGAGGAGAACGAGAACCAATAACCCGTACCCACAATATCTTCCCAAAAATATGAGTTAAAAACCTTGTACTCAAATGTACTACACTAGACTAGTTTGTTTATCTCTTGTGCAAACTATGTGATGTTTACACTCAAATTAATCACTTTCTTACAAGGATTTCAGCAATGCAAGTTAGATTCTGCTAAGTTTAGTCAGCTACATTTTATAAAATAAAAACTTTAAGTCTAAAACTAGCTTCACCCTTGCTGGGAAGGAAGTTGCGCCTCATAATTTTTGTCCGGACTAAGGAGGTGGCAGACCATCAGTTCCCGGAAATCGGTGGTGTACCTGTATTGTGGTTAAACAAAATTAAACAAAATTGGGAGAAGCACAAATGAGTAATGTCATGTGACTGTTGAGTTACTGTAGATTATGCAACTCCTTAGGCAGATGTCAGAAACACATAATGGAAATATGTCTTATTTAAGTTCTGTATTTTATACTCAGATTCTTTCCTGATAGTCAGACATCAAATACTCTGAGTATAAGGCAAAATCAGGCTAACTTTGAGAAAAGTAATATTCTACAGTGATTTAGTGTTGCACTATTGAGAGTCTGGCAGCCCAGTAATGTGTACGAACAGAGCTCAACGATTTCCACAGGACCACAGGTACTGAATATGTGAGGTGGATGATGATGATGATGATGGGGGGGGGAAGCGGCAGCGAGGTGCCTGCATTATTTACTTTTTTTCCTCATGGCCCAAGATCGGCTGACCGTCTAATCTGACACCAACTGTAGAAGACATCGAGGCTACCATTGTCCATGAACAACTATGTTGGCCTGGCCATATTACCCACATGGACGACAGTACACTGACAAAACAGCTAATTTACAGTCACCTGGACCTAATGGTAAACATAACTCTGGTAGGCAACATAAAACGTACAGTGGATACTTGTGATGAGTTTTAGCTATTAAAGTTTAGTGATTTGCGAGTTTACAGTTGCTTAAATTCCCCAAAACTTGAGTTTAGCACCACTGTTCGATAGATTAGCCATCATGGTAATGTAGCGGCTGTGCTTACACTCATGACGTTACGAGCCATTGTTTTTAATTCTCGCCAGTTAGTCACTTACGCTGTTTGAGTTCGTGATCGCCTCTCCCTTTACTGTGCAACTTCACAATGACTGATGCACAACTAGGACCCAGTGGGAGTGGAAAATGGCCTATAAGTGGGAAAGGAAGCCGACCAGAACGTCTTGGTAAGATGAAGCTGCTTTGTCTTGAGGAGAAAGGAGAGATTTTGGATAAACTAGAATATGGTATGAGTCCTACTGCAGTGGCTAAGTTATATGGAGTGAATGAGTCTGCAATATGGGGGCGTCAGAACAAAGAAAGAGCAGGCAAAGCAGTTTTTGCATGCTGCAAGAGGTGGTACTGTTGCTTCTGTAGCACACATAGGGCTGGAACGAACGTACATGGTCATTACATTACATATCTCTAGTTTAGCGATTCACGAGTTTAGCGCCCGCAAGATGGTACGAAGTGATCACTAAACTCTGATACCCATCATAAGGATAATCTTAGACAAGTCTGAAAAAGTGCCAAACAGCCTTCACCTGGGAGACAATTACTCCACACCGTAATGCTTGGAGGATCACCACACGAGAAAGTGTCAATACTTTCGAGTTAGCCTGATTGCATATCAAGGTAGATAAGCGCCAACGTTGGAGAGACGCTGCCACCGCCTCCCCATCACTTAAGGTAGCCATCCACACATGTAACATCTATGGATGGTCCTGCCGGTCCTGTATCGGCCTCTCGAGTCGCCTCAGAGCTCACCAACGTGTGACATCTTTAATAACTCATTTCATTGTATCACAATTGGATGATTGTCATACTCGATTCCAAATGACATCAAAGTAGTAGTAGTAGTATAGGAAATCTCCCAACTCAATTGTGAGGGAATGCATCCCAGGATCTATGCCCTAGTAACATACGGATTTTCAGGAACAGACCGTGACTGTATATAAAGCATACACTGACTGCTGTGAACATTGAAAGGATGTACATTATAGTTGACTGTCTTGGCATGTGGAAAACAGTGAAAAGAAAAAAAATCACTGGAACCTTTTTATCAAGTTTTTTTGTTTAAGTTTTTCAACTGGGCTGTTCTTATAGATCGCTTGGTGACGAAAACTACTTATGGCCTCTATTGCTGCCATGGCTGTAGCACTTGCTACAATTGCAATCTGTGAAGTAGCAACCAAACATGGAGCAGGTTGGTGATCAGACTTATAAAACTTTAATAGTCTTTGATGCAATGGCCATTTAAGATGTCTATGCTGTGTAATACAATTTCTTACCATTTTTATGTACCTAAACTAGATATTTTAAAAGACATATTGTTAAGAAGAGGAGAAGTTTCTCACCTCAAGAGTAACCAAATCCATCCCAGATTTTGTACCTTACTCATTTTAAAACAGACAAAATGAACCAACTAAATGCAATCCAGTTTACCAAACCTTTCCTAACTCACCTGAAAACTTTTACAGTAAAACCTCGATAAAACGGACTTCATTACAGTGACCCTGTTTAACGAACACCTCGGTTAACGTAATTTCGATTAACGAACTGCCTTCCGAAGGATCTTCAATTGATTAACGAAAAAAATTGGTTAACGAGTTCTTCTGAACCGAACTCAACTTTTCGCTTGCACTGACCGGGCAACCAGCTTTAAGTATCAGTCCGCCAATACATTAATCGGTTCTGGGGCAATTCCTTACTATTTTAGTAAATATCAAGAAGTTTATACTATTCAATAATTTTAAAAGTTTAATATTCAATTTTTAGTCATTTTAACAATTATTGAACATAACTAGAAGGTAAGTGACTAGTTTAATGTGGCATCCAGCCTTAACACAGCAAACAGGAGTTTAGTCTCTCTGTTTTCACTGGAGGTAACATCTTGTGAGACTCTCTTCAATAGCTTTTTTCTGTGTTTCCAAGCAATATTGGTCATTTGAAATATAACATATGACAATATATAATGCAGTGCAGTGTTGATTTAAAAGAAAATAATCTTGAATTACACCAAGAGAGCTAAAATTTTATGGGTGAAATGGAGCCATGGGATGACTTCTCTTCCACCCCAATGCCTTCTCTTTTTCCTTCTCCTCCACCCCCATTCTAAATCCATCCATCATCATCATCATCCAGATGCCTTCTACATACACACCTCAAAGTAAGTGAACTTTTCTATTTTTGTTGAATTTAGGAAATTTTCGGTGAGCTGGAACAATTACCCAAACCCATTGAAACAATGGTTTGGTTAACCAACTTCGGTTAACGGAATAGACCTTCTGGAGCGGATTGAGTTAGTTGGAGGGGGCACTGTTATATGTAATTTGCTTTTTTGGGCTCTGGGTTGCTCTGGTCACCAGAAATACAAAAAACAAAAAACATGTTTTAAGAAATGGGGTATAGTGGCGAGGTGAAGGAAGGACTTTGAAAATAGCAATTAAATGCCAGGTAGCGACGTGTCCTCCTAATATTACTTATTAAGTAATTATTAGATGTGTTAATTGCCTAGTTGGCCTGGCGGATTGGCTAGGAATTAACATACCTAGGTAGCATTTGCTGACATTTCATTCATGATCTTAACAAAAAACACGTTTTAAGAAATGGGGTAGATTAGATTAATAAATAAATCTTATCAAATGAACAACACTTACTGAATAGTGTACAGTGGTCTAATGAGATTTGCTATCGGCCTACTGAGAACTAAGACACTTGAGTATGTAAGCAGGCTGTTGATCAGGTACATTCTTCAGGTTTATTTATTGATTCAGTATTATATTCTCATATTATTGGCCTCTTATGGTTTATGGTTCAGCATGATTAACCCTCTCACGCATGATGATGCGATTCACTTCATAATCATGATAAGACCAAGTTCACGGCGACACAAATCGAGTCACCAAACATGAAAAAATTTGCCAAACAGCCAACAGAATTGCATCAAATTTGGAAGCATCATAGTAGCAAGTAATTTCTATCAAATAAACTAATTGGCAACTCTCGAGGCCCATATGAAGGGAAGACCGGAACGATAAATGCTGAGTATTATCTCACCAGTCAGACCTTGAGTGTGAGCCGCGTTCATTTAAATTTCCATAACTCCGTGCAGGTTGCCTCAACTCCTGGATTACAGTGCTTACCCTACTACCTGAAATAATTTCTTTTTGGTACATGTATTAGAGAAGTGAAGTGATGGTTGTGTGATATAATATTTTTTTATATATATTTACAGAGAAAGTGTTTAGTTTTCAAAAGCCGTTACCGTATCAGGCTGTACAACCTCGTTATAGTGACAATGTCTTGAAAAGTCTTAAAGAGGATGATTTTTCTTGACTGAATTTTATCTGTACCATTCTCTTAGTTATAGTGTTGGCTACAAGATGCAACATAATTTATGTCAATATAAAACATAGGCATAAATATAATAAAAAATAATTATATATATATTTTTCATTTGAGAAATTGTTTTTACCATTTTCTCAATATATCAGAAATCTGATTACCGCTTTGGAAAGCTCATAAAATTCTGCTTCTAGCAGTGTACAGTAGAACGTCGATTTAAAGCAATTCAATTTAAGATTATTGATTTAAAGCGACGCCCACAATTAAGGACAATATTTTAATTTAAAGCGAATCTTTCCTATTTTATGAGTCAATCTGGTGCATCATATTTTAAAATTCGTGCCTAATGTTTCTCAGCTTACACTGTCCTAAGGGCAGCTGTACTGTACATGTACTCAAAATAATGTACTAAATGATTAAAATTTTGCCTAGTGCAAACTATATAGCATGCTTATATTCAAATTAATCACTATCTTATACAAATTCCAGCAATGTAAATTATATTCTCCCAGTCACTTGTGACAATTTATAAGCAAAAACATAAACTCAATCTAAAGGACATAAATAAACAAAAATACTTACTAGACCTTCAGTGCCAACTGTCAAACATGTCACTGTCACTCCTCCCTCCTCCCTCCCCCCATCTTTCCAGCCAGGGTTTGGTGTTTTAGGCTAACAGTTTTTATCTTATATAATATCACAGATATTAGGAGAATATTTTTGCATTGCTAGAATCCTTGCAAGACAGTGAACAATTTGAATATAAACATCATATATTTTGCACAAGATATTAAAAAATTGCTCTTTGTAATAAAATTCTTAAATTAGAACTAAAATTTTTATGTCTAATGTGAGCTATAGCATGTTTATATTCATATTAATCACTATCTTATAAGAATTCCAGTAATGTTAATTATATTCTCCCCTGTCAGTTCAGTGACATTTTATAAGAGAAAAAGTCACTCTTAAGAACAGATAAATAAATAAGCAGCATCAACTGTCAAACATATCACCTCACCTCCCCCAATTCTCCCATCAGCTGATCACTAGTAAACAGACCATCTTACATCCCATAATTTTAGTTGTTGATTTATGAGTGTTTGTTTTAACATAATACTACAGAAAACAATGTTTTGTTTATTTTAGGAGATGGGCTGAGGTGCATCTGGGTAGACTCTCAGTCTTTTTAGTATTTTGTGTTTCTCTCAAGTACCAAACTAGATTATTCCATTTTAACAACACCTTGATTTAGTGCGAATTTGGTTTAAAGCGACCTCTCTTGGTACATATCTTGTGTTATATCGACGTTCTTCTGTATAGTACTTGCACAGTTAGCTCAGACAGTTTTGAGCTAGGCGGTTGTGAACCTAATAGTGTGTATTTTTTTCTCTCATGTTTATTAGAAGTGACAAAAAATAGCTACAGTGAACCCTCACTTTACGCGGTCAATTGAACCCACGGAGGCCCGCGTAAAGCGAGAAACGCGTAAAGTGAACAACATAACATATGGGATTAAATGAAATAGAGACCGGTTGACCCCCAAACTCCACTTTCCTATATACACCTATGTTCTAGTAAAATAACATCTTAATTTATGATGGTACATGCACACAATTAATACTTAAGAGAAATAGAGAAATACAATCGCCAAGTTAATGTCCCTCTCTGAGAAATTTTGGGAAAACCACTAGATTTTAAGGTATAGTAATAAATAATACCAAACAAACTTAGATAATATAATTGATTGCTGGATTCCTTGAAGACCAGGAATATTTTTGAATATAAATGTCATATATTTTGCACAAAAGATAATATATTTACTCAGAGTAAACAAATACTTACATTAGATCTAAAATTTGTATGTCTAATGCAAAATCTATGATGTTCATATTCAAAATGATCATCAAATTGTAAGAATTCCAGCAATGTAAATTATATTCTGGCTGGGTAATTTAAATGAATTTTATATATGCAAAACAAATATCTTCAGTTAATAAAACAAAAATATTCTTCACACACTATCTGTCAATCAAAGTACCCCACCTTGCCTTTCCTCACACTCACGCCAGCTGGTTGGTCGGTCCTCCCTACCAGATAAATGTTTGGGAGAAACCAGAATATTTACTTTTAGTGATAAATAATACCTCAGACTAAAGTTAGGATAATATAATTGACATTGCTGGATTCCTTGCAAGACCAGGAATATTTTGAATATACCGTCATATATTTTGCACAAAGATAACATATTTGCTCTGAGTAAACAAAATACTTGCATTAGATCTAAAATTTGTATGCCTAATGCAAAATCTATGATGCTTATATTCAGATTATCAAATTGTAAGAACTCCAGCAATGTAAATTATATTCTGGCCGGATAATTTGTATGAATTTTATGAGCTAAATAAAAAAATTATACTTCACCGCTATATGAGTAGATGCACCGCGTAAAGTGGAATTGCAAAAAAATTCATTATGTGCTGTCTTTCCCACCCTGAGGGCCTCAGAGATATGATCTTAGAACTGAAAAACTTGAAACTTATCTTGTGCTCGGGAAGGTGAATATAACATCTTCAGTAATAGAGAAAAAATACAAAACTGTATAATTTGTAATATGACTTGAAAATAAAAGGATAAGCTGTATCAGAAGGTTATTTACTCAAGATGCTGCGGTGGCTGCTTCTGCTTATAACGTTACAACTAGGGGTCACTATAACACACTGTATAATACAGTATTTGATATGAAGATACCTTCCTAAAAATTTTATTTACTACCATTGAGTGATAAATGATGGCTCAATTTGGCTACTTATACACTTTGACTAATGATTAATGAATAAATCAGGGTACAGTATGCCCTTAAAATTTGCAGATGTTTTAATTTGCTGACGTTGATTATTCACAGATGGCGCCCTGGGTTTACCCAAGAATGTCTAAGGGTCAGGGAGTCATTCGTTCTAGAGCATTTCTTTTACCTGTATAAATAATAAACAATCCAAAGGTAAAATTTTTAAAATAAAATATTCATTGTTATTTAAGATAATGAGAAGTTTCCAAAAATTTGTACATTTGCTTAAATATTGTTGAAATTATATTTATGAATTGGCAACCACAAAATTTTCAGATAAAATTTTCTTCATTATTTAAGCAAATATAAGAAAATTGTAAACTTTTCTTGACCTTAACTAACAATGGATAGTTTATTATTATAAAAATTCTACCTTTGCTTAATATTTATCCTGACAGTAAAGCAATGGATCCACCAATCACAATGACCTTTACATACAGCCTTACTTTACCAAGTATTGCCAGGTAAAATTGCCAGTAAGAGACTCAGGGTGGGATCGCTGGATCTTTGGATGACTGTGCTCCCTGATCGGCAAATGTTATTACAGATTTGGCTATTCATAGCTAATTTTGGAACCTAACTCTGCCAATTTTAAGGACATGCTGTATATCCAGATACACAATATTGTACACTACATTATTTTGTAAGTAAGAGTTAACCCTCACTTTCGCGTTAATGTAACCGGAGGGTACAGCGAGCGAGAAGCGGTAGTGAATAACATAACATATGGGATTAATTGAAATGAGTCAGGCCGATCCCCAACTCCACTTTTGGCGACACATAACTATGTTGTAGTAAAAACAACATCTTAATTTTATGATGGTACATGCACACATTAATACTTAAGAGAAATAGAAAATACAGTCGTTAAGTTAATGTCCATTCAAATAATGGACCGACTCCTTCCCCTCTTCTCGCGACTACACTGCTGCTCTTTTCCTCTGAAAATTTTGGGGGAAACCAGGTATAGTAATAAATAATACCTCAAACTAAAGTTAGGATAATATAATTGACATTGCGGATTCCTTGTAAGACCAGGAATATTTTTGAATATAAATGTCATATATTTTTCACAAAAGATAACATATTTACTCATATTAAACATTACATCTAAAATTTGTATGTTCATGCAAAATCTATGATGTTTATATTCAAAATGATCATCAAATTGTAAGAATTCAGCAATGTAAATTATATTCTGGCGGGTAATTTGTATGAATTTTATGAGCTAAAACAAATATCTTCAGTTAATAAAAAATATATTCTTCACAACACTATCTGTCAATCGTACTCCCACCTTGCCTCTTCCAACCGTGCGGTCAGTCCCAACCCCCACTCCCCCACCACCTCCCTTCAAGAGAAAGAGTCGGTGAAAAAATAAATTTTAAACATTTTGTATTAAATAATACCTCAGATTAAAGTTAGGATAATATAATTGACATTGCTGGATTCTTGTAAGACCAGGAATATTTTAATATAAACGTTATATATTTTGCACAAAAGATAACATACTTACTCAGAGTGAACATTTTATCTAAAAATTTTATGTCTAATGCAAAATATATGATGTTTATATTCAAAAATGATCATCAAATTGTAAGAATTCCATCAATGTAAATTATATTCTGGCCGGGTAATTTGTATGAATTTTATGAGCTAAAATAAAAACTTCAGTTAATAAAAAAAATATTCTTCACACGTAACAGATGGTCGGTCGCCGGTCCCTCCTCTCCCTCCACCCCCCCACCAACGCCTCATAGATAAATGTGTGAATACCAGACTGTTTACCTTTTAGTAATAAATAATAAATCAGACTAGTTAGGATAATATAATTGACATTGCGGATTCCTTGTAAGAATATTTTGAATATAAACGTCATATATTTTGCACAAAAGATAACATACTTACTCAAGTAAACATTATATCTAAATTTGTATGTTAATGCAAAATCTATGATGTTTATATTCAAAAATGATCATCAAATTGTAAGAATTCCAGCAATGTAAATTATATTCTGGCGATAATTTGTATGAATTTTATGAGCTAAATAAAAAATTATACTTCACCCGTAAAGGGTACACCCACCGCGGAATGTGAGCATCCTGGGTTCTGGCAGGGCACCGCGTAAACGTGGAAACGCGGAATGTGGGACCGCAGAAAGTGAGGGTTGACTGTACTACAATAAACCCTTGTTATTCATGGGGGTTAAGTTCTAAGGAATGGCGTGAATAGGCAAAACCACAAATAGCAACTTATACTACCTTACTGCACTACTGTATACCTATACCAAACAACTGACCAGCTGGGGCAGCACTCATCCCCTCTTTTACCTTATCTAATATTTCAACTTTCTTTGCCAGGGTCATCACTGACTTCTGCCTTTTACATTTCACCTACTAGCACTGACACTAGGCAGTCTTTTTAGGGCCATTTCATACAGAAACACTTAAGGTTTTGAGAATACAACACGAGATGCTATGTGGGGTGACAAGTCTTGCTGCAGGAAAAGGTTTTTAGTTTAAAAAATTTATTGACAAAGCTTGGAGTACAGTTTGTCTATTCTGAGTAATTCAGTCAGGTCTTGACACTGAGGGTGGTATCACTTTTCACTGCCACGCAGGACAGAGGTTCATACACAAAGGAATACTTAGGTCATATTCATTAACAGTATATATAGGTCAGAGTCATGTGGGTGATATCACTGTTCACTGCCATGCAGGACAGAGGTTCGTACACAAAGAAATACATCATATTCATTAGCAGTATACGGGGTCTGTCCGGAAAGTATCCAGCCATTTACTATTAAAAAAATATTGCTTACCTAGGACAATGGTGCCTTAGTCCCCTTCAAAGTACTTTGGGACTCACACTTTCCAGCATCCTTCCACTTTTCAAAACAGTCTGCAAAAGTCCTCTCTTGGATCTCCATCAGCTGCCTCGTCGCATTCTCCTTAATCTCGTCCCACGGTCTGAAATCTCCTACCTTTCAATGGCGATTTTAGCTTTGAAAAACCAGAAGTCGCAGGAGCCAAATTCGGCTGTAGGGGGCTGAGAGACCTGGGTGATGCAATGTTTTGCTAAAAACCCTGAGACGCGGAAGAATGGGGAAGGCGTTGTCATGATGAAGCTGCCAGTCACCACTTGCCCACAGCTGCGTCGCTTTACCGCATCCTTAGTCGGCAAAAACTTTGATGTAGTACTCCTTCGTTATTGTTTGGCCTGGACGAGATTAGGAGAATGCGACGAGGCAGCTGATGGAGGTCCGAAAGAGGACTTTGCAGATTGTTTTGAAAAAGGGAAGGGACGCTGGGAGAAGTGTGTGAGGTCCCAAGGGGAGTACTTTGAAGGGGACTAAGAGTGTCCGAGGTAAGCAATATTTTTTTTATTAGTAAATGGCTGGATACTTTCCCGGAGACCTCGTATATAGGTCAGAGTTATGGGATGTCACTGTTCACTGCCATGCAGGACAGTGGATCATATACATTGGACATCATATTCTAATTGAAGACTAATCTGTGTGGGCTAGCAAATTTAGATAAACAGCAAGAATGTCCTCAAGCACCCCTGATTCAATGTAGTAATTACAAAGTTCATGATACAATAAGCCAGGTGGCCTGAAGTCTTTGACAGTGTCACATTCAATAATATAGTGTTCAAGTGTATACTTTATAGGTTTATCACAAAATTTACATGCTGAGTGTTAGCGAATCATCAAAATCGCAAACTTGCAAATGGCAGGGGTCTACTGTAATGATAAATACACTGCAATGTTATTTATTAAGTGGTGATAAATACACTACAATAGTATTTATTAAGTATTGATAAATACACGACTGTACTGTACTGTACTAATTTACTAAGTGTTGAACACAGATGTGGTAAGCCAATCAGCTATTTGCCCTTTGTAAACAAATGGCTTATGGTGTTCAGTGTGGGATTCTTTTTCAGGAAAGCTGATTCTTTTAGGATAATATTTTTAACATGGCACCAAATGATCCTAAATTATATGAGAATTGTGGTGGAATTGCCTAAAGAAATGTTAAAGGAATCTGGGGAGAGGGGGGGAGCACCCACCCATGCTACCCCTCCCTTTCCAGCTACTCCCAGATAAACACTTGTCTTCCACATACAATATACTCCTGTACTTATTTGTTCTTATTTTTATCTTTATAGTACTGTACAGTATACAGTTTTCTCTTTATTTAAAAGACAAATTCTGTGGTTATTTACATCTAACACTTTACAGTAAATTCCAATCATCTCGGTGACAACAGTTGTTAACAACCAGACTTAAGTGTGATTTTCACCAAAGAGTTCTGTTTCATATTTTTTGTTGTTGATGTTGTTGTTATACTATGACCTAAGTTGTTGAGTGCAGTAATAACTTAACAACAACTGATTTTCTTTAAACAGTTCAGATAAGCAGTGTTATCCCCCCCCCCTTCCCATATATTTGCTTTTTTCAGACTCGCATTTTTCGGACTGGGGTCTGCCCCATTAGTCTGATTTTTTGAGGTTCTTCTGTGTATATAAAACATTTCTTTCTTTGTTTTATATTCTAATGCAGGAGGCAGTTGGGTTGCAAATTGCTGCCATCATCTACGTGAGTGCTTACTCCTGGTGTTGGGCCCATCACCTGGGTGCTGGTTGGAGAGATGTTCCCTCAGGCTGCTAGAGAAAAGGCCTCTGCTATCATCTCAGTACTTAACTGGTTTTTAGCTTTTATAATCACCAAGACCTACTTTAGGTAAGAACTTTTTCCTCTCATATGAACATTATTATTCAGTTGTTTAGTCATGATCAGCCTGTTAGCTAAGTAAAGAAGTCTGTTTATTGATCAGAACTGTATTGCCGTACTCAGCCTTAACAAGATGACTAAAACTAGTTTTAATGGGAGTATGGGTAGTGCGCACTTGTGAGGAAAATGAGCGGTCACGAGGTAAGCCACGGTGTGAAGGCTGAGATGCCGTCTGTGCAACATTTGTATTTTCCTTTTATACAACTACATGCTGGGCAGTTCCTTTTGCACTAGGACTGCTTGTTAAAGGGCCAAACAAACTATGAGTTGTACTAGAAGGGCCAGGGACACTGGGAGAGGCCTCAGGAGGCACCACACTGTCAGCATGTGGTGCAATCTCCTTTATTTTTTTATGTTTTCCCATTCCTCCACTTTCACCAGCAACACGAGACATGGTTCAAAACTATCACAACACTGCTAACATTAAATGAAATCACTGTGATGAATAAGAAGTCAGTACAAGCCATGAGAAAATGGTGGGAAATGTGGGTCAAAGTTATGTCATGTTATTAAGAAAGGAGGGTGACTGGTGTAGTCACTCATATAACCATGGAGGCAGTCTACATAGCTACCAGATCATACAGAAGTTGCCAAATGTGCATCTTGTGTATCTAGCATTCATATGCAAACATAATATTATTTGATTGTAATTTTTGAGTTTGTACATAAATTTGCATATAAAAACCCAAAAGCAATAATTTAGATTGTATGCAAATTTGTGTATGAAACCCAAGAGTGTTATACTTCTTCCAAAATAAGTTGTTTGAATGTTCTACTTAAATAGTACCTTTAAAGTTGGCAATCACACTTTGATCCATAGGCTGTAACAAAGCAGTTGTGTTCTTGGGCATGTATTCAATTCTAACATTAGTAAAAAGATCACTCAGGTTAATTGAGTGGCTGGGAGCATTATTTAACAATGGCAAGGCCTTGTTGAAAATATTTCTGCTGTTACTTTACCTTTCCACTGCTGGACAAAAATGGTTTGCGAACCAATCTTGGAATAGGCTGGCAGTCATCCACGCTTTCCTATTTGACATCATATCTCTGGTAACCTAAGTTTGGCGTAGTCATGAATGCCCTTGATTTTTCAGAGTGGTACACAAGCAAGGGGTTTAAATTCATATCTCCCAACAAAAGTGTTAAATGATCCTTGGAAGCCTTGAAACCTGGAGCGCTTCCAAAACAAGCCAGTTTCATTAACGTTGTACGCTTGTTGTGGTGTGTATCCATCCGCTTCAATAATTGCCATTAGTTCTGCTGAATATTTCTTTGCAGCCTCAGTATCAGCACTGGCTGTTTTGCCGACAATCTTAATGTTATATAGGTTTTGGCATTTCTTAAACCATTTAAACCAGTCTTTATTGACATGAAAGGGTTTTGCATCAAAACTTGCACCTTGTTCCTTTACTAAATCATCATACATACTCATTGCCTTTTCCTGGATTATCATGGTGTTTATGGGAACATTTTGCTTGGTTTGATCCTCAATCTACACACTCAGGACACATCCCATACTCATCATCCCATCACTAAAAGTGAAATACAGTGCACGGGTAGTTAAAGGAGTAGCAACTTTGGCACTAGCCTTAATTTTGTCTCTATTATCACGGATTGTTCCAACAGTTGAGGTAGCAAAGCCGAAGGTTTTTGCAATGTAACTCAGTTTTCTCCATCATCAAACCTCCTTAACACATCTAATTTTGTGGTCTTTAACTCCACTGCTTACACTTACACTTGAGGGCCTCTTTCCACTCATCTCAAATAAGAATACACAGAATACAGAAACAAAACTTAACACAAGCTGGGGACTGAATTTAAATTGACAGAAACCATTGTTGTTGTTGTGGGGCTGCAACTGCCTTGAAGCTATCACCAGGAATCCATACACATTTTTTTTAGTTTGGTAAAAATTATATATATTTTTTTTATTTATTTAAAAATTACCCAAATTCCATAATGGGAATTATTTAATTAAAAAAATACCAAAATTCCATCAGGAAGATTTTATTTTTTCCCATATCCGTAAGGGTAATAATTTTAAACCTTAGAAACAAATTTCGTAACATGAGATTCCATATTGTAGGGTTGCCTGTATAAACAAAATAAATTTCTTCAATTACAGTCTGTCTTGGCTGGCCTGCTGCAAAGTTACCACATTTTATTTCATTTACAGTGTAGTGCTTATATCTGCAAATACCTCAATAAAATATTCTGATTGAAAAATACAAACTTAATATCATAGATGATGGTAATTGATATGTGTGTGAATAATGCCATTTGCCAAGCCAACCTTTATAAAGCAGTATATTACATGAAAGTGTGCATGGTTGTGGACTGAACAGCTGACTCACCCACCATGTGGCAGGTAACAGCAGCGCACAAAATGTAGAGTGGTCAAACTCACAAACTCGAGGTCGAATCTTGGTTTTACTGTAAAATACACACAGTAAACCCTCGATAACTCGGCATTTGATATTTCGGAATTTCATATAACTGAAAGCACGGATATGGTCTCGGAATGTATTATAGTATAGCTCAAAGAATGCCAAGATACATAAATTATCTGAGAAAATCTCAGCATAACTGGCGACCTGCATCACCAACCATACTTCTGTGTCACCTACCATACCTCTGTGTCACTAACATACCTCTGTGTCACCAACCATACCTCTGTGTCATAACCATACCTCTGTGTCACCAACCATACTTCTGTGTCACCTACCATACCTCTGTGTCACTAACCATGCCTCTGTGTCACATATACCTCTGTGTCACCAACCATACCTCTTGTGTCACCTACCATACATCTGTGTCTCCAACCACATCTCTGTGTCACCAACCATACCTCTGTCACCTACCATACCTCTGTCACCTCACCATACCTCTCTGTCACCTACATGCCTCTGTGTACCTACCATACCTCTGTGTCACTAACCATACCTCTCTGTCACCTACCATACATCTGTGTCAGCATACCTCTGTGTCACCTACACTTACATCTGTGTCACCTACCATACCTCTGTGTCACCTACCATACCTCTGTGTCACCTACCATCATCTGTGTCACCAGCCATACCTCTGTGTCATGCCATACCTCTGTGTCACCTACCATACCTCTGTGTCACCTACCATACCTCTGTGTCACCTACCATACCTCTGTGTCACCTACCATACCTCTGTGTCACCTACCATACGTCTCTGTCACCTACCATGCCTGTCACCAACCATACCTCTGTGTCACCTACCATACCTCTGTGTCACCTACCATACCTCTGTGTCACCTACCATACTCTGTCACCTACCACGCCTCCTGGGTCACCAACCATACCTCTGTGTCACCTACCATACCTCTGTGTCACCTACCATACCTTTCTGTCACCTACCATGCCTGTCACCAGCCATACCTCTGTGTCACCTACCATGCCTCTGTGTCACCTACCATACCTCTGTGTCACCTACCATGCTTCTGTGTCACCAGCCATACCTCTGTCCCAACCATACCTCTGTGTCACCAGCCATACCTGTGTGTCTCCAACCATACCTCTGTGTCCCTACCATGCCTCTGTGTCACCTACCATGCCTCTCTGTCACCTACCATACCTCTCTGTCACCCTTACCTCTGTGTCACCAGCCATACCTCTGTGCCAGCCATACCTCTGTGTCCAGCCATACCTGTGTGTCTACCCAGCCATACATCTGTGTCACCTACCGCCCTCTGTGTCCCTACCATGCCTCTCTGTCACCAACCATACCTCTGTGTCACCAGCCATACCTCTGTGTCACTACCATACCTCTGTGTCATCAACCATACCTCTGTGTCCCTTCCATACCTCTGTCACCTACCCTCTGTGTCACCTACCATGCCTCTGTGTCACCTACCATACCTGTGTGTCACCAGCCATGTACCTCTGTGTCACCAACCATACCTCTGTGTCACCCCTACCATACCTCTGTGTCACCTACCATACCTCTGTGTCACCTATCATGCCTCTGTGTCACCTACCATACCTCTGTGTCACCAGCCATGCCTCTGTGTCCAAGCCATACATCTGTGTCTGCCTGCATCTGTGTCACCAGCCATGCCTGTGTGTCACCAGCCAGCCTGTGTGTGCCATGCACCTCTGTGTCACCAGCCATGCCTGTGTGTCACCAGCCTGCCTCTGTGTCACCAGCCATGCCTCTGTGTCACCAGCCATGCCTCTGTGTCACCAGCCATCCTGTGTGTCACCAGCATACCTCTGTGTCACCAGCCATGCCTCTGTGTCACCAGCCATACCATCTGTATCACCAGCCATGCCTGTGTGTCACCAGCCATGCCTCTGTGTCACCAGCCATCCACACTCTGTGTCCTGGCTTGCTTTTGAATCACCTACCATGCCTCTGTGTCTGCCATGCCTCTGTGTCGCCTACCATACCTCTGTGTCCACCAGCCATTCCTCTGTGTCACCTCCATACCTCTGTGTCACCTACCATACCTCTGTGTCTGTACATACATCTGTGTCTCCAACCTGCCTCTGTGTCTGCTCATACCTCTGTGTCACCAACCATACATCTGTGTCACCTAGCCTCCTGTGTCTCCCTACCATACCTCTGTGTCACCTATCATGCCTCTGTGTCACTAACCATACCTCTGTGTCTGCACATGCCTCTGTGTCAGCCATACCTCTGTGTCATCCTACCATGCCTCTGTGTCACCAGCCATACCTCTGTGTCACCAGCTTCCATCTGTGTCAGCCATGCCTCTGTGTCACCAGCCATGCCTCTGTGTCACCAGCCATACCTCTGTGTCACCTACCATACATCTGTGTCTGCCATACCTCTGTGTCCACCCTATACCCTCTGTCACCTACGTCATGCTCTGTCACCTATGAGCCATTCTAGCCTGCAGCTGGTAAGTGTTATTTTTGTTCAATCCAGAACGCGTCGCCTAGCTTATACCTAGGATG